AAATAAACAATACATAATAGAAATTTGAAGTTTCATACACAATTCTTTTCTTATTCTTTTTATATGAAAATATTCATTTTTATTGATGGTTGTCACGTTCAGAATAACAAAATTAAAATTAAAATATTGGAAAGATTAAATCGAAAATAAGAATTTTGAGCAAAGTATGAAACAATTATTTTTGTATAGGATAAGAAAAGTTAGTCACTTTGATAACTTCAAATCAATTTTTGAAAAATCATGCTCTAAGTGAAAAAATACTAGCCTTCTATTTACCTTAAATTTAATTTTTGGTTTTCTAAGCACTCTAAATACTGTTGTTGTTATTGTTGTTGTGTCTAACTCTTCATGACCCCTTTTGGGTTTTTCTTCGCAAAAGATAGTGGAGTGGTTTGTCATTTCCTTCTCCAGCTCATTTCACAGATAACAAAACTGAGACAAACAAGATTAAATGACCTGCCCAGGGTCACAAAGCTAGTGTCGAAGGCCGAATTTGAACTCAGGTCTTTCTGACTCCAGGCCCAGCACTCTATCCACTGTGCCACAGCTGCCTAAATACAGTATGACAAGAGTTTTTTGTTGTTTTTAAAGCATCTACCTACAACATGGGACCATCTCCAGTCATCCTAATCTATATCATGCCACTGGACCCAGATGGCTCCATAGCAGAGAATGAAGCTGGTAACTTTGTACAGCCCTCCCTCACTTAAATCCAATTCACTGGCAAGTCATGACTTCACCTTCCTAATGTCACAGTCCTCTTTAAGAATGAAGGACAAACAACCACTTGTGAGTAGTCTGAGCTGCCCCACTGCGGACCCAACTGACTAGATCTAGTTGGGCAATGCAGTTAATTCCTTCCTTCCTCCCTCCCTTCCTTCTCTCTCTTCTCTCCCTCCCTCTGTTCCCTCTGTCCACATAGGGAATCATACCCTTACCTGCAGGTCCTCTGCCTAAAAGAATATAAATTTTGATCACTGAAATCTCCGAAGATGTTTACAGGCTAGATTTCTTTCTTAAGGACCATGCCTTAAACCCAAATCTCTCTGGCTCCCATGGATTGGACAACAATAGGTCCCAGCCCAAGCCTCACTTGGTGTTTGGGCCTTGATGGCTCAGAGTGAGTGTAAATACCAATTGTTTGTTTTGGCCAGAAACCCTGAGGGTTTTCCCCTCCCAGATTGAATTTTTTTTTTTTTTTACTAGGTAAAGGAGGCCATTCATCGTCTCATATCTTACCTAGCTTTAATCACTGAATAGGTATTGCCTCAGACAAACAGACCTGGGAGGCTTAAAAAGGTCGAAGTCTCCCACTGCATTCAGGGTCATCTCTAGTTGTCCTGATCTATATCATGTCACTGGACCTAGATGGCTCCAGAGGAGAAAGTGAGGCTGATGACTCTGCTCAGCCTTCCTCACTTAAATTCAATTCATTTGCAAGTCATGGCATCACCTTCCTGATGTCATGGTCCTCTTCCAGAATGAAGGACAAACAACAACAACCTACAACATGAAACAGAACTTAACCAAGGTCTCAACCATCTAGCATCTTTGCAACATTGAGCATAACAGCAAGTCATTATTCTACAAACCCTTATCAGTACAAACCCGTGTACTTATAAACTACACTAGTTACATGCTACACTAATTTACAGAATCCAGTCAACATTCCTTTGAAGGACAGACAACACACTGCCTGAAGTAAGAATGTACTTGTTGTTCAGTCATTTCAGTCAAGTCCATATGGGGTTTTCTTGGCAAAAATACTGGAGTGGTTTGCCATTTCCTTCTCCAGCTCATTTTACAAATGAAGAACTGAGGCAAACAGGGTTAAGTGACTTGCCCAGGGTCACACAGCTAGTAAGTGTCTGAGGCCACATTTGAACTCATGAAGATGAGTCTTCCTGACTCCAGGCCTGGCACTCTATCCACTGAAATCATTATTTGGTGACTATTGCTACTATCTAACAAAAATTTGGCTAACAGATGCTATCTTGTCTACCCAGAAACTAATTGTTTCACAAAATGCCATATTTAGCAAACATGAGTAACATATACCCTAATTGAGCAACAACTGTAAAAATGTTTTTAAAAATGCTAAGTGCCTTAATTTCCTTCTTTAAAACCACACATTTTAATTCCCTTCAAAAGTAACAAGACTAAAATGCAACTTAATACAAGATAATATACTGTATCTTAAAACTGAATGCCAAAATCTAGGTCATTCTAAATATTTCCACTCTGAGAAACAATTGCAACTATTCCAAGCTAGCTCCTGCTCTCAAACCTATTGCCTTTAGGATAAAATGCCAAATCCTAAATTTATCACTTAAATTCCTTCACAATCTGGCCTAAATTTCCAAGATTATTTCACATTACATACTCCCCTTTATAGACTTTGCTTTCTAGTCACAGTGCCCTACTTGCTATTCTCAGAATTTAGTTCCCCATCTCCCACCTCTGTGCCTTTTCACAGACTTCTTTGCCCATGCCTGTGAAATGCATCTCTACTTGTAATCATTACCTTCCTTCAAGGCACAGTTTATGTGCCACCTTCTATAGGAAGTTTCTTTCATTTTACATTTGTATTATTATTATTATCTGTATCTCTAGGGTCTAGTACAATGCCAGGCAGCAAACAGGCATTTATGAACACTTGTTGACTGATTCATTTTCTGGTCAGTAATGTTACCTCACTTCTCCTCAAATTATCATGTACATATTTATTTCTGTATGTGTTTTATTCTTCCCATTTGAATCTTAGATTCTTGAAGGTAAGAACTAATATTCATTTTCTCTATATCTCTAGCTCCTAGCTAACACAAACTTATACAGAATAGGTGCTTAATAAATGCTTGTTGCGGGGCAGGTAGGTGGCACAGTGGATAGAGCACCAGCCCTTAAGTCAGGAGGACCTGAGTTCAAAGCTGGCCTCAGACCAAACACTTGACATGCACTAGCTGTGTGACCTTGGGCAAGTCACTTAACCCCAATTGCCTTACCAAAAAAAATTAAATTAAATTTAAAAATGCTTGTTGGATTTGATTACAAATGAATGATTAATATCTTCAGGATTTTTCTTTCATTCTTTCATAACTACCCTCCAAACTTGCCCCATGAAAAAGTAGAGAAAATAAGGATGGAGCCATATTGTATATCCTGGGGAAGAATTTTTCAAAAATCTTGAAAGGAATCCAATCAGGACAGAATACAAGACACTCATGTCCTTGTTCTTAACAGCTGTCCTCTTTAAGACAGCCCAAAATCACCTTAGTTTTTTGTTGCAGGCATTTTTTTTTTGGCTGTCATATAATGTTATTCATTTTTATTAAGTTTGTAGAATAACAAAACTCCCAAATCTTTTTTTAAAAATGGCTACCTTACCATGCCTCAACCAACTTGTACTTACACAGGTAAGTTTTTGAACCCAAATGTACCTCTATTAAATTTCATTTTAGTAGGTTTGATTGAAAAAAAAAATTAAGAAAGAAAAATCTTCTGGAGTGGATGGGTAATACCACTTCTGGCGGTAGGATTAAAAAGTTAATGTTGGAAGTATCTACCTATCTGCTAGATTCAGAGTAATCAAAATTAAACTAAATAAAATAAAACTAAAAGTTAATTAAAAATAATAATTTGCATTTATACAAGGTTTACAAAGTGCTTTCCTTACAACCACCTCCCCTTTCAAGACCTCCATTTTCTCTTTTGCAGAATGAGGATATTATCTATAAGATAACAATCTCACTAATATTATCAATGAGGATAAAATGATTACAATTATTACTACTTATCAAATTAGCATGTATATACTTATCTGTTTATGTGTTTTATCCTCCCATTTGAATCTTAGGTTCTTGAGGGCAAGAACTATTGTTCATTTTCTTTATATTTCCAGCTCCTAGAACACAAACTTACCCAGAGTAGGTGCTTAATGCTTGTTGGATTTGGTTAAAAGTGAATGACTAATATCTTCAGGACTTTTCATTCATTCTTTCATAAGCACTACAAACTTGCCCCGTATTACGACTAAGCAATATTTACTACTAAATGGTATTACTGTTCAGTCCTGTCAAGATCGTCACCCCTGTTTGGGTTTTTCTAGGCACAGACACTGGAGTGGTTTGCCATTTCCTTCTCCAACGCATTTTACAGATGAGGAACTGAGGCAAACAGGATTAAGTAATTTACCCAGGGTCACACAGCTAATAACTGTCTGAGGCTGGATTCGAACTCATGAAGATGCAGCCCTAGCACTCTATCTAGCTGCCTAAGCTAGTATTACTATTAAGTAATATTACTAAGTAGTATTACTACTTAGAACAATAATAATAACTTACATTTCTAGGATGTTTTAAGGTATACAAAGTGCTTTCCTCCCAACCACCTTTGTGAGGTAGGTATTGAAAATATGAGTCCCCATTTACACAAAATGTAAACATCTCTGAACTTCTGGTGTGGGGAAACCCCCTCATCAACGCAAATCTGAAGCTGTTTATGACTAAGCTCCATCCGAGGGAGTTGCCAGAAGCTCAGAGAGGTTAAGTGGCACGGCCAGGGTCACACAGCTAGTAAGTGTCACAAGACGGTCTGGAATCCAGGCCTTCCAGATGCCAGGCTCAGCTCTCTCCCTCTCTGCACTAGGCCACCTTGCCTCAACAGGGGGCTTGATGCGTCTCTAACGCCTAATCCTAAAGCCTGGGATCCGACCAGAGCCCACGACCGAGCAAGGCCTGGACAGAGCCGCCACCCTCCGCGCCTTTGGCTGCCTCTGGGAGCCAGGGAGGGAAAGCTTCGCGTCCCGTCCGGACCTTCTGCGGGCGCCACGAAAAGACGCCAATAAACCGGGGCACGGGAGGCTGCGGCCGGCCTAGGGCAGACGCGGCGAACAACTCTCCCGCCAGCCCCTTCTCGGCAGGGCCTCGTCCGCCGAGCCCGCCGGAGCGCCCTGCTCCGAGTCCTCTGGCTCCCCGACCCCAAGGGCCCACGGCTTCCCCGACCTGAAACTGCGACGCGGGAGGCTCCTTCGCAGACCGAACTTCCCGCCGCTTCAGCCGACACCGGATTCCCTGAGCATCTCCCGCCCCAGCCGCACTACGCAATATCCTCGTCTCCCATTGGCTACTGAGAGGGCGGACTTGCTAGAACCGACCCTTGCCCCACCTCTCTCCTTTGCCCTCCCCCCACCCCTTTGGGCATTCTGGGACCTGTAGTCCTCGAGATCCGATAACCTGATTTCCTAGCTCCGCGACCAACTGCATGCTGGGACTTAGCCTCATGGGAAATGTAGTTTAGCGTAGTCTGGAAGTGACCGGTTTGGATTGTTGCCACTAGTTCTTAACTGTTTAGGTACCCTATGGGGGGTATCTCTCATTTTATGCAACAAAGGTTTTCCTGAAAAGTTGAATGTAAATCTGTAGGATACAATGTAAAAACTTCGTTTCCTTTTTTCACTGTTCTTCAAGCGACAACATACTTAAGCAATTCATAAATTTTGGCTGAGAAACACAAACAAGCAGGAATTTTTGTTCAGATAATTAAGACCTGAGATTCTAAGGGATTTCAGGACTTGGAGTCTGAGGACCTGGGTTCAATTTCTGACTCTGCTCTACTTATTTGTTGAGTGATCTTAAACAAGCTAATTTAACTTTCCTGGGCCTGGATTTCCTCTCCTGTAAAATGAAGAGGTAGGACTAGATGATGGGGAAAGGTCCTTCCAGCTCTGGGTTCCAATGATTTGCTTCGAGCTGGAAGATCTTAGTTCAACATACTCAATTCAATTCATCATATATTTACTAAGTGCCTTCTGTCTGCCTTGTGCCAGATGTTAGAGATACACATGAGGAACTCATGTCACCTAAGTTCCAGCCAGACTGGACTACATTCTGTCCCATTTTCTTTCTGTCTCCACCCATCTTGACTATGGCATTTGATGTTATTACACTGAGTTCCCATCTGTCCCCCTTTCCCCTACCCCCTTGTCTTCCATCCCACTTCTATCCCTCCCCCACCTTCTTCATCTATTGAAGTTCCTTCTTGCTTTCAAGGAATTTCCTACTTGCCAACTGAAAATACCACCTCTTCCATGAAACCTTCCCTGCCCCACCTCCCAAAACACCCAGATGAAAGTAATATATCCATCCTCTTGTTTCCCATATCTCTTTTCCTGGATTTGGAGTCAGAGAACCTGGGTTCAGATTCTGAGCACTCACCTCTCTCTCCCTTGTATCAGTTCTATATAATCTATTCTGCTTCCCTCTTACGATATTGTTGTTGTTATTCAGTCTTCTGACTCTTCATGACGCCACAGACTATAGCATGCCAGGCCCTTCTATCTTCTACTATCTCTTGAAATCTGTCCAAGTTCACGTTGGTTGTTTCCATGACACTATCTATCCATCTCATCCTCTGCCATTCCCTTTTTCTTTTGCCTTCAATCTTTCCCAGCGTCAGGGTCTTTTCCAATGAGTCCTCTCTTCTCAATAGGTGGCCAAAATACAGCTTCAGTATTTGACCTTCCAGTGAATTTATTTCTTAATTTGACCTTCTTGCTCTACAATGGATCTCAAAAGTTTTCTCCAACACCACAATTTGAAAGCATTAGTTCTGTTGTGCTCAGTTTTTCTTATAGTCCTCTTTCGCCATATATTACTACGAGAAAATTCATTTTATTATTATATACTTATAAGCTACCTAAGAACAGGGATTATCTTGTCTATCTTTCTATTTCCAGGATGTAACATAGTGTTTTGCATATAATAGGTGATTAGTAAATGTTTGTTGAATGAATAAATAAGTGGAATAACTTTGAGGAATATGCGTATTCTACTTAAATAGTAGTAATAATTATGATCCACATTAATAAAATACTTCCTCATCTCTTCCTCCTGACTTCCTTGAAGTCCCACCTTCTACAAGAAGCCTTTTCTGAACCTCTTTAATCTGGGGACCTTTCTTCTGAGATTATCAAAAATTTATGCTATAAATATCCTATTTATACATGGTTGCTCAAATGCTGTCTCTCCCATTAGCTGATGAACTCCCTGAGAGCAAAATCTGCTTGGTTTTGTTTCTATTTTTTTGTCTTTCTTTGTATCCTCAGCTCTTACCACAGTGCCTGGCACATAGTAGGTGCTTAATAAATGTTGATTGACTAAATGACAATTGCAAAGTGCCTTATATACATGATCTTCCTACTCTACACACACACACACACACACACACACACACATACACCTCCTAGCCCTTCAAAAACTAATTAATTAATTGCTGTGTTTGAGTCATTAACCTCTCCATTTTCCTTGTCCACCAAATGGGTTGGGTGCTATGAGCACAGAGGCACTGAGACAAAGAGCTTAGAGCCAGAATGATCAATTCAACTCATACACTTACTAAGTGTATGTACCCTTTTTTAGGTGCTAGAAATACACACCTAACAGAGAACTGGCCAGGACTGAGAGCAAAGTCCTGGAAGCAGGCCCATTTAAACAAAATAGTCCCTGTCCCCAAGGAGTTTACAATCTAGTAGAAGATTTATGAGAAGTCATTGGTAGAGAACTGCCTAGGTCCATTTCAGCACTAACATAGGAGATTGTTGTTTGTCCTTTGTCTCAAAGAGGACCTATGACATCACAGGTAATGTCTTGATTGTGCATGAATTGCATTTAAGTGAGGCAGAATTGCACAAAGTGTCAGCCTCACTATCTCTTCCAGAATTATCAAAGTCCAGTCGCAGGAAAAAGTCAGGATGACTGGCATGGCCCAGGATGCAGTGGATGCCCTTGGCATCTTGGATGTCTGACCAAGCTCTAAACACTCCACAGCACCCGCTTCAGCTACCTTCATGGCTGCTGGGACAAATTATTCTCATCCATCCATTCCCTTGAGGAAGTCTTCACATGTTCAAGGTAGATATTCCCCCAGTTCAAGGTTTTTTGGTTACCCTCAACCTGGTTAAGCCTAACTGCAGAGACAATTTTACCAGGGTATGGCCAGTGCACAAGCTACAGCTTCTTAGAGACACAGGTAAGAGTCGGATGAATCAGGCAGACACCAAAGGTGGATGAGCAGGTCTGAAAAGGGCTCGGCAAGCCCTCACACCAGAGATGCTAGTTCTCCCTGAACACTCCATACACCCCAACATAGGAGATAGAATGATGGAAAAAGCCTTAAGAGTGTGGAAACAAGAGATTCCCACTTTATAAGCAGTGTGACTTTAAGCAATCACTTACTCTCCTTTGCTTTCAGTTTCTTGATATATAAAATTATAAAATTGTATGATTCTAGGCTACAAATAGTTGTTAAAGGGCCCAAGTGTGTTGGAGCCAACAAAACTTTAGCTTCTACAATGCTTTAATGCTTTTTAACCTTCTACATCTCCTCATTTCTCACCTGGCTGCACTACTCTGAGATTTCTCTGTCTTCACCACCGCCAGGAAGCTTATTATTGGGAAAACCTCATCATCCTGTGAGCTGAGTTCCCATCACCACCCTCTCTACCTCTGATTGGGAGATGGAGCCATGAACTCCAAAACCACCATTTGAAGAGGGAGCTAAGCTCCCACATTTCTCACCTGGCTGCACTATTCTGGGATTTCTCTGACTTTTCCACTGGTCTTGTACCTTCCCTACCCCCAACTCCCTTTTCATCTCCTTTTTTATGTATTGTCTTCCCCAATTAGATTGCAAGTTCCTTGAGGTCTGTCTTTTTTATATTTGTATACCCAATACTCAGCAAGGTTCCTGGCACATAGTAGGTGCTTAATAAATATTTATTGATTGATTGCTTTCTATAATACTTGGTCTCTAGAGTTTCTTTGATTTTTTAAAATTAGATCTACAAAGATATGGTTTGCTTCTAATAATTTTTTGAACATACATTCCTCATTGTGGTTCTATTTCCTGGAATTTTTTAATTACACATCTCTCATTATAAGTAATATAAATGAGTCAATATTACTTGCTATAATGTATGTAATGTTAACAAATATATACATATATATGTATCACAAGTTCATGAGACATGCATTGCAACTGGATTTATTACAAGAGAAAGGCAAATGCATGTGGCAACTCCCTATACCAAGGAGCCCAGTGGTGCAGGGAAAGCCTTGGTATTTAAGTTACAGGGAAAAGGAGATGCCTTAGGGGAGGATAAAAAAAACTAATCCCCTCTGGGCAATGGAAAAAGCAGCATTCTTATCCTTTGGGAACTGCTAAACCATGAAGATAGGATTGTCTGCTCATCTACAAGGGTCCCAGATGCCCAAAGAGTTTCTCAGTCTGGTACAGACTGATTGGTACCTGTCTTGACTCCCAAAGACACACAGGGCGTCCAACTTGGGGTGCAAACAACAAATTATGTTTGCTGGGTGGGGGGGACTTCATCTTCCATATGTTCAGGGCCTCCTGCATACTCTGAATCCAGTGTGTCTAGAAAATACGGTAACTCAAGAAGACAAGTGCAGGGAGCCCTTCAACAATGTGTATACATGTATGTATGTATATATATATATATATATATGCACATTTATATATCACCATATTAATAAGTAAGATCTTCATCCCTCTTGTTAGGATCTTATTATATTTGAAGTTTATTCCTCTTACCTTATAGAATTTAAGTTAGCATTCCATATATAAAACCCCATGAGGAAAAAAAGCCCTAAGCTTCTTTATGAGAGTTTTGAGTTGTTGCTGGAGAGAACAACCCAAAGCCCTTTCCCTGGCACTTTCCAGATAATTGGCATAAGTATTAAATGCTCCTTGCTTTTGCCTTTTACCCCAAACATTAGCTAAAAAGATCTCTTCCTGTTTGCCCAACAATAAACTCATAAAGTAAGTGTCCATCTGGGTCCACAGAGCCCCACAGCACCTGACATCACAGGTAAGACCCTTTACATTCCCCTTATTATCTAACCTTGGTTAAATCAGGGAAATCCCAGTCTTGTACTCCAGCATCCTTAACCAATTACTGCACTCAAAAGTTTTTAAACACAGGTATTCCTCCACCAATAATCATATTGGAAATCCCTCAAAAAGAAGAGCATCTTAACATGAGTCAGAAGAGATGAAACTTTTCCTATGCAAAGAGC